TCCCTGCAGGGATGAGCGGATGACCCAGGACACCATCCCCAGCTCTGTTTCCAGTTGTTGAACTAACCTGCTCCTTCAGTGATGTAGATTCCAGAAGTACCCTGGCTCTGTTTGTCTGAGTCTTTATAGGAATGTCCAGGAACGTCCCTGTTCTATTTGTCTGAGCTTCCTTTGAAAGATTTTCATTTTCTTGACTCTTCTGGAGACTGTCTTTGAGCATTTCTCGCCATCTAGTGGTTGCACATGGTGCAGGTTTGGGAGCTCCAAGTAACAGTGGTTTGAGGGGAAAACCACAAGGGCTAAAAGTCTGATCTGGCATCTCTGATTGCCTCTCTGTGCAACTTGGGCGTGCCTACACAGCAGGGCTAAAACCGAAATAGCTACGCAACTTGAGCTACGTCAATTGCATAGCTTAAGCTGAAATAGCTTATTTTGGTTTTTGGTGCTGTCTACACAGCAGGAAGTCTGAGAAAGAGCACTCTTCCTCCGACTTCCCTTACTCCGACTTCCCTTACTCCTCGTCAAATGAGGGTTACAGGAGTCCTCAGAGTAAGAAGTCCTCCAACGTGACATTATTTTGACAGTATGTCAAAATAACTGCTTGTTGTGTAGACACAAAGGCTGTGTCTAGACTGGCCAGTTTTTCTGGAAAATCAGCCGCTTTCTACACTAGCCGCTTGAATTTCCGCAAAAGCACAGACTTCCTACTGTAAGAAATCAGTGCTTCTTGCAGAAATACTATTCTGCTCCTGTTTAGGCAAAAGTCCCTTTTGCACAAAGCTTTTGCGCAAAAGGGCCAGTGTAGACAGCTCAGATTTATTTTCTGCAAAAAAGCCCCGATCGTGAAAATGGCGATTGGGTATTTTTTGCAAAAAAGCGCATCTAGATTGGCACGGACGCTTTTCCACAAAAAGTGCTTTTGCGGAAAAGCGTCCGTGCCAATCTAGACGCTCTGTTCCGAAAATGCTTTTAACGGAAAACATTTCCATTAAAAGCATTTCCGGAAAATCTTGCCAATCTAGACATGAGGAGGCATGTAGATTAGACAGATCGGCAGAGGGAAATGAAGCCGCGATTTAAATAATCGCGGCTTCATTTAAATTTAAATGGCTGCCCCGCTCTGCCGATCAGCAGTTTGTTGGCAGATCGGGGCAGTCTGGACGTGCCGCGCCGACAAAGAAGCCTTTCTTGATTGGCACAGGTAAACCTGGTTTCACGAGGCATACCTGTGCCGATCAAGAAAGGCTTCTTTGTCAGCGCGGCGCGTCCAGACTGCCCCGATCTGCCGACAAACAGCTGATCCGCAGAGCGGGGCAGCCATTTAAATTTAAATGAAGCCGCGATTATTTTAATCGCGGCTTCATTTCCCTCTGCCGAGCTGGCTAATCTACCTG